CACATATAGTATATAACTCTATATGTATCTCGCTTAGTTTTAGGGGATACCTACAACCGTTAGATGGACAAAACTATAATACTCCGTAGCAACTGCTTGCAAGAGTGCAAAAATAATACAAAGTCAGCTAGTTAAAAAAAAAGTTGCGAAGAAGAGAGTAAAGAAGCAATCAAAAAAATTGAAAAAAATAGTGGAAAATGCATACGTCTACCTAACAATCTTTCAATATAAGTATATTGGCAAATTTTGTCTATGTTTGCCAGCTTGCATTGACTGGTGCGTCTGAAAGCAATTCCAACAAGAAAAGAATTTTACTTCGGCTACTACCGCAGCYATAATACCTTTCGCAGATGCTTTCATTATAACATAAAAGAGTAGATTTTTAAGTTGATTTTGATTGATGAAATTGTTTGGGAGCTACATATAGTTGTCCTCCCTAGACTATTTCTTTGCGGGTTATAGCGCTGCCTTAGAAAAAATCAGCGGCAAATTTAGTGAAGTCAAGAATTTTTCCTCAGCGAGCGTTCTTTTGAAGTCTGCGAACTGGAAATATTCTCTGGAGGCTAGATCAGYCTTGTGAAAAGATGGAGCCATGTTGCATTTATTGTTGCATATTGAYGGGTTTATTACTTGATTATTTCCAAACACTGCTCCAAAATAATCATCACATACCCAAATAGTAGTTAATGATACGACGTTCATATTTAGTTGATATTTCCAGAGTACCTGCTATCTCGAAAAACTTCACTTTACAGTCATCCAAAACTATTTTGTTTACGGTTTTATTGTTTTGGTCGGTGTTAACCTTTCTTTSGGCGCCCACTGCTTTCACCTTCTTCGGTGCTCATTTCACYMCTCTAAACWTWSCAWATCARTCSTTGATGGTTGATATTCCTGGAGMAGTGTCCGAAAAGTCGTYATCATGCTCACTAGAAATCAACACTATCTATGTGTCAGACCGGGGACGTYTCAATTGGGCTATTATCCTTGAACATTTTTGTAACTTGCTGTAGATTTTATTGAGTCTGCGGCCTTTTCTTCTGAGTATTACAAACATCATACCAAACTTTATATGCCCTATACAGGTTATAAGAAGGAAACTGGCTATATTCCTTTCACTTACGCAATCGGAGCTAGTTGGCATGCTCTCAGCTTATTTACACTTGCTTTTTGCAATTGAAATTTTTATTTGTACCACACATAACTTTATGCGTATCTTGCTGGTCTGTCTGATTCTCAAAGCGCCGGCTGCAATTACCCGCATGCAAATGCATCTCCAGTGCGTTTTCCTTCTCTTTGCGGTGTGCTGGATATTGACAGGCACAATTGTAACTGACATCTTTTGCTGCGTAGCGTCGAGTGTGGCAAGAAAAAAGAAAGCAGTTACCCGCTATCCGAGAGAGAGTAAGYGCTGACACCTCAAGTGGCATAATCGTTTGTCATATTGCCATAGTGGAAAGTGTGGCGCTGTTTTTGAATCTAAATCGTGGGCACAAACATTGAAACTAAAGATATCACAGGAATATATGCTTGAAATAAATGCAAAATATATTTATGTTGCTTGTGCGTTTTTTTCTTACAATAGTTTGGGGAATACATGAAATGGAAAGCAACAAGCATTTATAGTATTTTTATAGAAATACTAGTGGATCCGGCCACGCGTGGATAAGAATCCAAGGGATTGTACTTGAGATGTAAATTTGAACATGTTCAGTCAAATAAATTGCATTGGATATAATAGCGAATTCAACGAATTGTCCGCTTAATAGATTGTACTTAATAAACATCAAAAATGTGCATGATTAATGGAGATGTGC